AAGAAAGAAAGTTATTCATCTGACGAGAAACTCCCATGCTACAGTGTAAGTGACGATATAATGATTGTCAGAAATTTTGAAAGGATGCTGATATAAAAGGTACATGAACCAATTGAATCTTGTTTTATGGGGTTGGTTTGAATTTATTTTTACCTCAAAGAGGTACCAATTTTGAAGTGAGAGGTTCTGGTAGATCATACAGTAACTATATAAATTTCTGCCTATATCTTAATACTTGTAGCTGTACAGCTTTATAACATTAAAGGTGATCTGGTAATATTGCTCATTAACTTCATTCCAAAGGTTTAGAAGTTTAGAAGTTTAGAAAAGGGATGCAGTGTTCTTAAGTAGTAAATGTGAAAGGGGCACCTTTTTTCAATAAAAAGGTATAGGAAAGGGGTCCCTTTTCTGTCAAAATGGTATACCCAAAGGGAAAGGGGTTGGACCTTGGGGTGAAGCCTCCCCGTAAAAAACTTTGTAGAGTACCCCACCCTACTCCTACCCAGGGTAACCACTCAGTCAGTTCCATCAATTTTAAAATTGTGGGTTAAAACAGAAGTTGGATTCATAGGACAAACCTTTNCCCCCCCCTCAGGGCATCAATCCACTGGGGATATACTGGTGTGACAACTGTTTGCCAACTGATCTTGATTTAGCTATGGCCATTTTTCGCTGTTTCCTTCAGCAAATTTGCAGTAAGTCAAGTATAAGTTTATAGAAAGTTTCTATCAATTTATGTCATAGTCTGACCTCATAACCTTGAACATTCATGATCGCTGTTGATGTTATTCTGCCATTTCAAAATTATACTGATCACATGATTTTTGTTCACCTGATCTCTTGTCATATTTGTGTGCTCTTTGCTTTGCTTTCATATTGTAAGGCAAAACACTGTCTTTGCAGGGCTCAAAAAAAAAAAAAAATGAATTCCAACTTGCCCTTAGGACAAGTATCTCTCAAATATCGTTTGCACTGGGCGAGTCTTAGTTTGCTCTTTTAATGATTTATTTGTAGTTGACAGAAAAGTTGCCTGATCCCTTGCCCAATTCACACAAGTGAGATTGAAAAGTTACTTGCCCAGAAAGAGAATCTACTTGTTCCGGACGACCAGAGAGCACTTTTTTCTAGTCCTGCTTGGCATTTTAGTGTCCACGGACAGAAAATGTTTTGAAAATGGAGCTTTCAGAAAACAATGACTACATGATGGCCATGTGATTAACCCTAACCATTGAGGGTGTGCTCAAGCATTCCCAGCACAAATGATTGTTGCAATGTCACATAATTTCTGCCAGCAAACTAGTGCGGACAGAAAACATTTGATGCATTGTCAGGGTGATTAAGCATCATTTTCAAATTTCTCTGGCATAGTGTGGATGGGGCAGAAAAATCATACTGTTAACTAAAATTCTCTATGCTGAAGTAATCTATTTTAGAAAAAGTGAACCTACTGGACAATTGCTGCTGGACTGTTTCCATGGCAGATAAGTAGCCTGCACCTGACGTCACAATGATGTACATGTACATATGAGTTAACTTAAGACATCAGTGGAAATAACATGACATATTTATATGATGATATCCTATGACACTTAAGTATGTGAAGGCTTTAATTTGCTGTTGTGTTCTATTCGACATCAATGACAGAAAAGAAAACCACAATTTTGACTGGCAAAACTGCAAATTAGTGCAGTGTGACCTCAGTGTACAGTCTTGCATGTGACTTATGCCCTAAACTGTGCCTTTCTGTAACACATGAACTCTGCTCAGTCACCAGTATCATGTCTCACAGCCACACCATCAATCATGATAATCATGTGAGCCACCCCTCAGGAGGGAGGTGAATAGGTTCGCGGATCAATGGATTTGGCCTTAAAAAGAGCATGGATTGTGGATTTTTGCGGTAAATTGAGCGGATTTGCGGATTTTGAAAACACACTGTATCGTGGATCAGCTGTGAATTTTGGCGCAGATTCCAAATTGCGCCTGTCTTGATGTTCGGATCTTGAGTCCTAAATGAAACTTACATCATAGATCTTTCTTCAGCCTTGGCCGGTATGTTAATGAGTTCTTCCAAATTATTTCTTTTTTCGAACAAGGCTCATTTAAACTCAGGTGTGATACTGTTATTGGAATTGTACTGTGTTAAAGTCATCAAGCATGTTGCCTTCTGTACTACAATTTTGTGCGAAATTACTGTTAACAATGGCATTCACATTTAACTTTCCGGATGTAAATTGTGGTTTCAGACTTGAACAAAAATATTGGCAGATCAACAGATTTGGTGAAAAAAAAGGCACAGATCGGCAGATTGTGCATACTCCTATTCATCCCCCTCCCTCAGGAGACAGAAAATATTGACTTCAGCAGGTTCAAAAAGTTGGGTTAATAAGCTGTAACAATTTGATAGTTTTAGGTCCATTTTGTTTGGCTGTTGTTGTTTTTTTCCAGGTTGTGGTAATTAATTAACAAATGGTAAACGCCATAGCGTGCACTATTGAGTTATGGATGCACGCGGGAGGTTGCTAAGCACGAAAGAAGTGTAAGAGTCGCACGAG